ATTATAATATATGTGCTATTTTAATTAAAAAAATATCCATATAAACTTATTTTTGCAATGTCTTGTGAAATTAATTTATTTTTGTGTGGTGCCTTGTACTCTGAAATTTAAGTTGGCCATCCACGTTTTGATCCGTGTTCCGCCCATATATATATATATATATATATATATATATATATATATATATATATATATATATATATATATATATATATATATATATATATATATATAATTGGATTTGACGACTTTTAATTGGATCAAACAATGATGTATGTAACGTTTTTAAAATAAAAATACCACCATTTGTAATATGTAATGAGTATATTGGAAATTTAACATTAAAAATTAGAATTTATATTATTTTAGTGAAATTTTATAAACTTGTAGTGATTTTCTGCTGCTTTTTGTGAATGAATCTAAGAAAATAAATAGAATGTGTGGAGTGTGGACATACAAAAAAAATGGTTATATGGTTAATCACTTCTCCGCATATACTCATCTAAGAAGGTGTGATAGAACGAATGTGCCATCCTTCAGTTCATTAGTTCCAAAAGAGATGATCTATCGGCTGGAGCAAGTCAGCCGCTAGTATTGATTGACCCAAGTTTAATCTCCTTCCTAACGATTGCTAAATTGAACTCGTTAACACATATTCAGCCTATTGTGGTTTATATCAATATTAGCTATATATTTGCTCTATATTTGCAGAATGCATCTATATAATTGAATGTGGGTCCTTTCATTATAAAATAAAAATAAAAATGATCCAGTCCTTTAATAGCACCTCAAATAAATTGCACTCAATTCATTTACACCAAATTCACACATTAAAATAACAATTGCAGTGGGTAATAAATAAAAAATTCATATAACCATTGATAGTCATGAAATTATTGCACCAAAAGATTTGTTTATGAACATTATTGGTTGGTTTTTATCTTTGTTTTTTGGTATTTTTTTTTATATATATTGTCAATGGTGTGTAACTGTATCCAAGGTGCGAATGCTCATTCGATTGCTCAAAAACAATAAATACATGTCAAAATCCTTCAAATTTCACCAATAATGAAAGCCAAGGATGACAAATAGATAGCGAAAGGTCAATTGTTTGTGAATGAGACTGGAGTTGACGAAGTCAAGGTGAAGGTGCTCATCACAAAAATTTGGTTAGACTTTTGGATTTCTTTTATGAAAGAAATCCAGTGGCTTATTGTATAGAGTTTGTCCCGAATTGTAGCCTAGACCAATTTTTATTTGGTAACATTAATTTATTTACATCATTTTGTGTTGCATATGTGATATATGTGTTGCACCAACTTACCACCTCCGGAACCAGTTGAGCTACACTCATGCGGGCCACATGTGATATATGTGATGTCACAAGATGTTGACTAAAGAGATGTGAAATCTGTGACTTTTTGATAAAGATTGGCATATATTTTATTTCATTTAGAAAATTTATGTAGACCGAATTTCTAAAAATTTATTTGATTAGGAATTTATTTATGGTACATTTTGATGGAGGGATTAGGATGGCGATTTGAAATGATCATAATTTGGATTCATTTGAAAGCCATTACAATTGCTCAAAACATACTTCAAAATGAGGGGCGTGGATTTAAAATTTCTTGTCAAATCTTTCGATCCAAACAAGTGCAAGGGATTTGTTA